TCGGTTTTGCAACATGTGGCCTGGCGTTGTCATGATGGAAAAGAACTCCTTTGCGATTGGCCAAAATCGGACGTTTTTCATCAATTGCTTTCTTCAATTCGACCAATTGCTGACAATACTTGTTGGCAGTGATCGTTTCTCCAGCTGGCAAGAGCTCAAAATAGATCACGCCTCGGATATCCCACCAAATGCACAGCAGTACCTTCATCGGATGCAATCCACCTTTCGACATCGGTTCCGCCCCTTCGTGTGCCTGTTTCCATGTTCTTTTGCGTTGAACATTGTTGTACAGGATCCATTTTTCATCACCAGTCACGAGCCGATCCAAAAAAGGTTCGTTTTTGATCCGTCGAAGCAAAGAAATTGCTGTTGACATACGGTCCACTTTGTTTTTTTCACTCAACTGATGTGGCACCCATGTATCGAGCTTCAAAGTGTACCCAACCTTTTTTAAACGACGAAACGCAGTTGATTTGTTGACGTTCAATTCACTGGCAACCTCTTCCGTCGAAATACGTGAGTTATTCGCAACTAAAGTCCTTAGAACATCGTCATCAAGCTCAGAAGGCCGTCCACTGCGAGGTTGATCTTCGAGGTTAAAATCTCCAGAACGAAATTTCGCGAACCATTTCTTTACTGTGCGGAGTGCTGGAGCACGGTCCAAATAAACTTCGCGAATATCTTTAGTTGCAGCGCCTACTGTTTTTCCTTTGCGGAATTCGTATAACATAATATGACGCATATGATCTTTTTCGTTGTCCATCTTTCATGCGCCTTTTCACTAAGCAACTCAAATCAAAATGAAGTCATTTTATGCTTGATTTATAGTTCGGACCTTTCCAACGATATATAATATGTGTATATTTCTTTCACGAGCGCCACTCTCAAACGATTCGAACGGCATCCAGCGGAATCGGGCACGAACTTATGCACTCATCCAATATTTTATCCGGATTTCCTTATTTTATATTTTTAAGCTGCTTTTTCTGGTTTAGAATGTTGCAAACGTTCCTTTATACATACAAGTGTCTTTTTATATGTTTAAGTTGGTGCTTGTAGTTCATACATAAATATGTTTGAGCAAATAAATGAATATTTGTGGTATTTACTTGTATAGGTTTTCGTGACCAAAAGCCGTAAGAGAAGAGTTTTGTTAGTTTAGCCTTTCGTAAATATTTCGAGTTCTAATGCCATTTATTTTAATCTATAGAATATTTTATTTTATCTACTTGTGCTACTGAAAAGTTATTGGATTTTTGTTAGAGCGGCAGAATTACATTTTGCTATTTTAAAGACAATTTTATTTGTCTTACATATAAAATATATTGGTCAATTTACTTTCCAAATAAGTTTCTGTATAAGTTTTCTCTTATAATATTTTAAAACCAAGGATTGCGGCAAACATTTGAAAGAAATTGTTTTTACCATAAAGAAAATATGGCCTACATCTAGGCGCTATATACATCGTAGCGTAGTTTGAGTGAAACTGGCTATAATTAATCAATTTGCGCTTAAATGATTAAAAGGTGGGCACAAATATATTGAGAGGGGCGTAGTGGTTTGTTTTTGCTCTCAACTCATTGTAATTTAGCTGTATAATTTTGGTAAAACCTCGATTTATTATCACCCATTCATATAATACTTGATTTCACGCTTAATACAGTTTTGATTATCTTAATTTTTAAGATTGGTCATACTTTTCTGTTTCACTGTGAAGTGAGGATCTACATACATAAAATGACATGAAATTTCTTGGTCAGTATTTTTAATTATGAAATTACTTTGGAGCTGATTAATGAATGAGGAGGGTTGGTTTCACAAACTCTAAAACTTCGAGTTGATCTTATTCTCCTCACCAAGCGTTAAACGAAATTGTAAAAAATTTATCAGTTAGTAATTTAGTCGAGTTGGTTAAAATTGGAAATTTGAATTGGAATGTTAGTCAAACACATGAAGTATGGAGCTGATCGCGATTCTATTACGTTAAGCTATTAATCATTGGTGAATCTTCTTCTCTCTTTCACTCTCTTATAAAAAATATTTTGCTCTTCTGAGCTCTACTTTTTGTTTAATAAGTCTGTTCGAAGTAGAAATGGAGCAACCCAGATCACAATTTTCTGCTCTGACTTTTTTGGTAGAGTAACTTGGAGAAAGCAATAAGATTTTTTTTGACAGACGAGTTTATAAAAAAAAGGCGGGCAAAATATAAGAAAGGGATGTTCAAGGGGTACAGCAAACGACTTAAATACAAATGACGATAAAAATTTTAAATTTTACTAAGAAATATAATATAAAAAAATAATTGGTAAGATTTTTCTATTTTGTTCCCAACAGAAAAGTCAAACATTCCCATTTGAAAATGGTTGCCCGAAAAATACTTCATGAGCTTTTTGCTCCGAGTTGTTCTAACTTGCTCTATTGTTTTTCGGCTGTTGCTCTATTCTGCTCTACTCTATTTTCAATCTCAATAAACAAACCATCTGAAATAAAAAGATTTTTTGACTTTTGCTTAATTTTTGTGCCACCAATTTAAAATTTAAAAAAAATTCTTAACTTTCTACAATTAAGAAAATCTTTATAAAAAATGCAGAGCAAAGTAAAGAAAAATAAAACTAACTCACAAAAAACCTAAAAGTTCTTGCATAGTATTTTCTGAAATCTATTGGAAATAACATTAATTTCAGGCGGCTTAGCAATTTAAAAAAAAAAAAAAAAATATGATGACATATATATATATAAAATATTTTTTAAGTGGCTATATATTGAAGTTAAAATGAAAATAAGTCAAAAATCCGTTTTATATTGGTAGTTACTTTTTTGCTTCATGCAAGCAATATTATTATTTTTTCTTTGTAAAAAATCTCGTATCAAAATAATTTCGTGTTTCAGTTGAGCTATTGATGAATTGATTCCTTATATTTTTTTTACCATAATATGTTACATATTTTAGTTATTTCTCTTTTGAGTCAGTATGAGTACTTTTCATTATTCAGATTTCATTGTGTTTAAATAGGAACAATTTTTGAAGGTATGAAAAATTTATTAATATGTACATATATTAATTCTTTTTTTTTGCTTAAATTTTTAAAATCGTATGACATACCATCAAGCAAATCTATTTCCTTTCCTTAATATATTTTTTGGTAATTTTAGGCCCGCAACTAATCGAGATTTAGAGTCTTAACAATTTTTTAAATACAAGTTATTTCTTGATTATACGTAAAAATATTAAAAAAATCGCATAAATGTTTTAGTTCATCAATTTGGTGGGGCATAAGAATTTTCTTGCCTTCGTACCTTCTCTTTGTTATATTTAATACTACATATTTGTATTTATCTTTGTTAAACTGTGAGTGGTTTCCAAAAAATTCATACTCCATTGAAAATAGCCCTTTGAGCGTATAATAAAAATATCATGGAAATGTAAAATATTACGCATACGTCATGTCACACCATATTGCTGCTGTAAATGTAAATTTTCGATAACGGCTTGAAATGAATAAATTATATTCGCCGTGAACCGTTAGCAAAATTTCTGTATATATTTTAATAAAATAGTAATTGCTAGTTTTATGATATATATATATATATATATATATATATATAATATATCTATGCACATATATGCGTGTTTATGGACACCTATGTGCCGGAGATTATAAAAGCAGATAGGGCATATGACTGAGGTTGGAGATGATATTTTCTTTTTTTGTTTTGAAATTCGTGCACTCATTTTTAGCTTTTAAAGTCGAAAGCAAACCAAATAATTGTAGTTTTTTATAATAAAATTAAATTAAAAAATTTTAAACACTAAACTTTAAAAAACATTTCAATTAATTTGAATATATAAATTGATGGAATTAATTTGATGAAATTTTAAATAATACATACATTTCGTATTTAAATTATATAAAAATAAAGATTTGTTAATCAAGCAATTTTCTAAAATAAACACAATTTTCATTTCTACTCACAGGTTTTCTCAGCACATACCAGACCGGAAACTAGAATTTATTCTGCTATGCAGTGCTGCTCTTCACTGGTTACTCTTTAAAGAGATGCTGAAAACGTTTGCGGTTTCGGAGGTATTTATGAACAGAGAACTCAATTACGACAGTGGACGCATTGCAAACATATGCTTATTGAATTGTTGTTTCAAAAGATCAATTTAAAAGCAACTGCGAGTGTGTGTGTGAATAAAAATTGAAACGCAGTGACACAAACAAGCAAAAATGGCATCAAGTGCCAGCTGAGGGCTGTTGTAAATTTGTTGTTGTGTCCTGTGTTCTCTTTCAGTGAGTTTTTCAATTTTAGAGTTTTTCCAATCTCTCATTCACTTCGCTTTAACTTTGAAGCCTTGTACTACTATCAGCCGTTGTCTTCCTCATTCTACTCCTTGTCGTCGCTGGTGTCGTAGGCGTGAACGCCACTGCTTGTGTCTGTCGGCATAGGAAAGCGAATAAAATGGACTGAAGTGACAATATAGCGCAACTGGGAGTTCAGTGACCAGTCACGAACAACAAAATAACAAAAACCGACAATAGTCAACGTATCAGCAGCACTCAATGTTGGTCGGGTGGTCAGTCACGCTCCTCCCGTACAGAAGCTTGGATATGCTGCTTTCACACTTTTGATTTTGTTGCCCTTAATCTTGTTGCTGTTTTGCTGTGGTCGAGTCGATTGCTCGTTCTCGGTCATCTCTAGGTCATCTCTCGGTAACACTCCGACGCAAAAACAGCATTGAGCTGTGATTACAGCCTTACCAACAACACCTCTCTGCCCTTCTCTCTTATCTGCTCATGTGGCTCTGCTACATGTGGCTGTACTGGTTTTGTATTTACTTGTCAACTGCTGTTTTCTGTTGTAGTCGTTGTTGTTGCAGCAGCTGCAAGTGAAGTAAGGGAATTCAATTGCATGTGCTTTCATTGGTATTTTTTTTGTTTTTCTTGCGCTTGTCTCTTTGACGCTTTCAATTTTCTTCTTTTTTTTCTTTAGTTTTTCTTCTCTTTCTAGGTTTGTATTTGGAAACATTTGCATACCAAAAATTGCCTTTATAAAAAAATTTTACACAGCTTGTTTTGTAGGTATTTGACATGGCCTGGAGTCCTTTTTCGATCTGTTTTCCTTATTACTCACGATTTTTTCAAGTTTACTTTCTAAAAAGAGAAGAGGGAGGAGAGGAGAGTGAGAGCAAAATTACAAAAAAAGTTTTTGTATGAAATACGAGAAATAAATTGTGATCGCATAAAAAAATAAGAAAAAAAGAAGGTCTGATAATAGACTGCTTTAGCGTTTGATGACTTACGAAAGGCATTTTTTTGGTACTACAAAAGATAATGGGAGGTGTGCAAATCCCAGCACTCGGTAGAGTTTAAGCTCTTGTCCAAGATGTACACCATCAGAGAGTAAATATGAATTACGTTAATGCCAGAAAGTTTCCGGAAATTGTAATTCAAACTGCCAGCACTTTCTTTTTGTTCAGCTGGCAGCACAGCTCTTAATTTCTATGCCAAAAATGAACGCGATCTGTCAACCAGTTTCTTTGCAGCAGCTGTTGAAATCTGGCGACCTCAGTTCCATCTGCGTACTTTCTTTTACGGCCTAAATCGAGTCGATACGGGCTGTATGGAGTAGTAGCTTGAGATTTGGAAACAAAAAAAGTCGCATGAGGAGAAATCACTTGAATACGTTGGTTGATCGGTGGTATTGAACGAGTTTTGGCCTCAAAATCGTTCACAACTACAGCTCGGCGCGATGGCGCATTTTTGTCCTGAAAGTTTCCCCCAAATAGTCGGCCCACCATTCCTCCCATTTGCGACCTCTCAACCTCGAAACGCTCAAATAATACTCTTTGTTGACCGACTGTCTCTTTGGAAAGAATTCATGATGAACCAAACCACGAATATCGAAAAAAAACTGAATATCAAAAAAAAAAAAAAACTTTCTGGGCTTATTGTATTCTAAAATTTGTCTTCGCTAACGGGAAAACGCAAATCTGTTGGAACCACTGGAAAAGCTGGTTACACAAAGAAGCTCGATGTGTACGTGTCCAATGTGTTAGCGAGGCAGCCCCTCAAGGACTGAATTTTCAATTAGAAATCGCTGTTGAATCGTCAAAAAGTCGGCTCAATGCTGAGTCGAATGTTAATTGGTGATGAAAAGTGAATCACTTGAAATAACGTCAGACGAAAAGTGATCCACGGCGTCAGCCGGCACAAACGGTATCCAGGTCAGAATTGATGGTCTCGTTTAGTTGTATGTATTGTGGGACTATCAAAAAGTCATCCATTAAAAACTGAACGCCTACGGCAAAGCTCTTAATTTCTCTGAAGCAAGCAATAGCCCAAAAACGTCCAGCTTTTCCCAACAGGAGGAGAATTGTATTTCAACAAGAAATTGCCAGATTGCCACATAACAATAGTGACCCGCTAGAAGCTCCGAGACCTTGGTTGAAGGATTTTTTTGCATTCACCTTATAGTAAGGACCTCGCACCACATGATTATCACATGATTATTATTCATTCCTGTCTTTGGTGAATAATTTGACTAGTGAAGAATTGGCTTCAAGAGAAGCCTGTGTGACAATTGATTTGAATTTATTACCAATAATTACCGATAGGAAAAACGGTTTATAGGAGAGAGGCATAATGGCATTACAATTAGAATGGCAAAAGTTTTTTAATTCAACGTTAAAATAATGGATTACTTTTTACTAGCCTTGAAACTATATGCCCTTGGAAGATCATGTTTTTTACGATATTTTAATAAGTTAATTTAAAATTTTTTTATTTATCGGTTTCTTGTAACATCTCTGATAAATCAAAAATATGCCTAGAAGTTGTCCTAGTTAGAATGCTGCTCAAATCAATTTCTCAGGCTTCCTTGCGGAATTTCAAGAAAAAAACACTGCAGAGCTTAGCAGGTGTTAAAAATGAAGGAGTCAGACAAGAGTAGGACAAAAGACATAAAACATCAAAGGGAATTGCTTTTCCTGGCTGAATAAAGTAATAATTTTTCTCGGTAAGAGATTCACTAGAAATATTCACTTAAAATGTGAAAGAAATAATCATAAGTTGAAAATGTATCAAAGCCAAGTTGAACTTCCATAAAAATATATAATTTACTGCCTGCCTTCTTCGGTATTAAACTCATTTTATGCAGAGATTCTTCAATACAGTAAGCTTTAGTTAGACGAATTATATTACTAATTTTAAATAAATTAATTATTTAAAGACATTTTGCCCTCGTCGACACGGTGAGATGGTTGTTAAGTCGGTCAGCTTGAGCTCAGAATTAAATCCCCACATTTTTTGTTGCTCACCATTCGCTGCTCTCATTATCGTAGGACGATATGAACCTTCCGACGTGAATGCTCATGTTTACTTCTAAGATCGAAGGATTTGTTCAGCTTCGTGCGTATTTTCCTTTTTGGCATTTTTCCCCGCTGCTATCAGTTTATCTTCGTGATTGGCGTTTTCAATGGCCTATTTGTGGTTTCTTTGATTTTCCTCTGTTTGGTATTTTATGGGTTTCTTATATTAATGCGTTTTTCTTTTTTGATTCCTTTGTGTGCTTTCTTTGACTGTCACACCAACTTTTAGCAAACAATTGTAAACGTTGGAAAACTTCTTGAAAAAGTAATTAAAAAGTTGTTAAGCTTAAGAGACTCTCCGTCGAGGAAAGCTCACGTAGTGGTTGGTTAGATGCAGCATGCTCACATGCATAGCTTTAAAATATATATGTACACGTATATGTGCAAATGTGGTTAAGAAATAAGCGACTTCGCAAGTACAACAATTGAAATTAAATTTTTTATGCCTCTCACACCCGAAGTGTGTAAGTAAAATAAAAAAAAATTATACCGAATAACGAATTGAGTTGATTTAGCCATTTTCGTCTGTCCATCTGTGCGTACCATCGATTTCTTCGAATTGATATTTTGGGTCATAAACTTATCAGATATGCATTTGAGAGGATGTAAACTCCGACAACTACAACAGTTAGCTCCCTGACACCGATTTGCTCAGATATGCGGTTTTGGGTTGAAAACTCGACTAAACTGAAATTTTGTTTCCCACCTCTAACTAGTTTAGCAGATATCAGAATTATTATTTTATGCTAAAATGTGATACCACAAACTTGATAAAGGTCATGGCTCTTCTTTCTTGTTTGCTTCGCTTCAAATTACCTTCATACAGTTTTTGTTTGTTTTTTTAGTTCCTGAATTGATTTGAAAAGCAAAAGTATTTTTTTGTGGAGATGAACCGACTTGATCGATAACTTTTAAATTCTTGAGGCGAATATTATTGTGGCTCTCTCTTAGAAATCCTTGGGCTCATTGAAACCAAATAGGCATAATTGATTTCCACTGCCTTCTCTTTAGGCCATTTATTCACCAGCCAAATCATACGCCATAGAAGGAAATAGATGGTATTCACTACCTGCAAGGTGAAAGACAAGAACATACCAGTTAAGCTCATGGACCTCTTGGCGAGTCACTATCGATGAATGTATGTGGTCTGACATTGTCCTGATGAAACACATTATCCCCTTCTGTTGGACAAAACTGGGTGCTTCCGAACGTTTACCTTCTTCAGACCGACCATTTACTGACACTACAGCTCGTAATTAATATTTTGGGCGAAGAGGAGCGCCAAACAAACAACAAAATCTTTCCGGCCGTCAATCCTGGCTTGCGAACCATTTGTGCCAACTCTCTGTCCTACGACCACGAACGCTTTAAGCAACCCTCCTTCCATCACCAGTCACTATTCGCTTCAGAAATGCGTGGATTTCGTTGCGACTAAGTGGCGATTCGCTGATGGAACTTCAGTTCATGATGTTTTTCTTGTTAACCGATGTGCTTCTTTTTTGAGCCCAGTCTTTTTGAAGTGTTTTCAAACTGTTGTTTATGCAATCCTTAGCTACTGAGTAACCGAAACAGTGCTCACGTAACTGTCAGACTCAACGATTTCACACAGAATCAGATCTCGTTTATAATGGGACACTTTTTATCCATTCGGAGATGGAGTTTCGTGTAAAAAGGAAATTCTCTACAATTTTTTAATTATATAAACATTGAAATTATATTTGATACAGAGAAAAATCACTCTTAACTACATTTTTCAACTGAAATTACGTATGTATATCTGTGAGCCAGATAGATGGTGTGCAGTGGCTTCACATACATATCCCATGACTTTCTAAATGTCCTTCTATTAAAGTGGAACTTTTTGTTGCTTTTTCCAATTTTTTTTCATTTGTAGCTCTGGAGGTGCTGCTTAAATCCCATATGTGAATACATATGTATTTTCTGTTTTATATTATAATATATTTATAATATTATTTAGTAAGATGAAAGTTTACTTTAAATTTAATTTTTCCCAGAATGAGTGAGGAAAATTAGTAACAAAACTATATATATTTTTTCTAATTATGTATACAAATTAAAACGCACACAAATACATCTACACACACTCGATATGCCGGCATGTGTGCAGGGCTTTATTCCCTAGCTTTTTTTTTTGGAGCAAACAAACTTTCGCCGAAGTTTAAAAATAAAAAAATTTTGCAATTTTTCCCTAAATTTTGTTATTCTGCTTGCTGCCTCTTCATGGTTGTTGTTGTTGTTGTAGTTTTTGTATTGCAACATTTTGAAGAAAATGAAATTTTTGCTAGCAACAGCTTGATGGCTGTTGTTATCGCTAAGCGTTTCATACATTTACCATGCCATCGGTATATACGAGGGGACTAACAAAAGTTCGGTCAGTTGGTGACTTTCGATTTGTTTTTGTTAAATCTAAAAATACTAAATCCTTTGAAATGGCTTTATTAGTTTTGCCTTCAAATTTTAGAACGAACGGCCAAAATGGAGACGAGAAGACGCAAGATAGCTGAGGATAGGCCCAAAGAAATTCCACCACCAATGCAAACAGAAATTCACCATGTGAATCTCTTCGGGTTTCGGCGTAATTTACGGCCGATATAAATATTCAATGAATGACGAATTGCATACGGAAGGATTGCGCCGTCTTTAGAGACTATTTCTAAGTAGTTTCAAAGATTCCAGGATGGATATTTTTTCGTAGAGGACGAGCGCCGGAAGGTCGACCAAAATTTTACACTGATGACGTCACTTTAGCTCTGTTGGAGTCCA